ACCAGCTTATACTCCGTCATCGCGCGATGCTCGCGGGGCTGCACGGCGCTGTGGGGTCTCCTGCCACGCCTGCCAGGAGGGCCACGCTCAGCCAGGCCCGCAGCTCCGACGGCCAGGACGGCGGCCCAGCTGCCCACCTGGCCAGCCGCCATCCAGGGGCGGGAGGGGTGCCGCCTCCCCACCCCGCCGACCAGCGGACAGCGTGAGCAAGGCAGGGCGCCTACCCCCAAAGGCAGGGCTGACAGCTGAGAGCTTCTCCCAACCACGCACCCAAATTAGAAGCTGCTGTGTAGGCAGAACGCACAACCCGCAGGGCCTGAGGGCTGAGGTTAGCCTCCCAGAACAGGTCCTGCCGCGGCCGGCCGGGCCACAGCCTGCCCAGGCAGGCCAGCGTCAGCCAGCCGCCGGGCCCGGGGTGCGTCCGAACAGCATTACCGAGCGCGCACCGCATGCAGGTGCCGCCGCGGCCCGAGGGACAGGGGGCCTGGGGCGCAATCCCCGCCCTCTGGGGTCCCCAGGATGTCGGCTCCCCGGGGTGTCCACCGGCCCCAAAGTCCTCGGAGAAACGCGCAGGGGTTCCGGCAAACAGGGGCTCAGCCCTAGCGCAGGGGCAGCGCAGGGGAGGCCCGGACCCCGAGCCGGCGCGCCCCGGGTCGCGGCGTGCAGGGCGGGGCGCCCTGGCGGCCCTGAGGGCCACGGTGGCCGCGGCGCTGGGCCCTCTCCGAGCCCTGGGCAGCGCGGGGAGGAGACGGCGCCCGGCGCCATGGCGCAGGCGGGGCCTGGTCCCGGGGGCCCGCAGCCACAGGGACGCCAGGAAGGGGCCGCGGACGCCGCCCCCCGCCCCGCCGCCGCCCCCGGCCCGCACGCGCGCCCGCCCCGCGCCGCCGCCAGCAGGGCCGGGAGGGGGCGCCGGGCCCCCGCCCCCGCCCCGCCGCACTCACCGCTCACGGGCGCGACTGCCCCCGGGGCCGGGGCGGGGGCGGGGGCGGGCGCGGGGTCCAAGCGCGCGGCTCTCCCCGCGCATGGCTCCGTCCGCGCCGGGTGCGGCTCAGGCTGCGGGCGCCGGCAGCGGGCGACGGACACTCGACCGCGGCCGCGCCTGCCCCGCCCCCGCGCCCGTCCGTCAGCCCGGCGCAGCCTATCATTGGACGCGCTCGGCCGAGCCACACCCCACGCGGTTGGCTGAGCGGCCCGTCCGTCAGGAAGCGCGACCGGGCGGGGCTTCCGGGAGTGGCTCGCAGGGCGGTGCCCGGCAGGCCTCGGCCGAGCCGGGGCCCCGCACCGAGTTCTGCGGGTGCCGAGGGAACGCGTGGCGGGCTGGAGGGGCGGGCACGGCAGCGGGGCCGGCGCTGGGGAAGGCCAGAGGTCCGCCTTCCGGCCCGAAGTTCCCATCAGACCGAGCCCAAAAGTTGCTGCACGCACGAAGGGCAGAGACCCGCACTCCCCTGGAGGAAGCGGGAGGCGGGGAACGGGGCGTGCGGCTCTGCGCCGGGCGTCCCCTCTGGCCGTGGCGGGGGTCTCAGGACGGGCTTCCCGCGCGGGAGCCGCGGCAGGTGCAGCACGGTCCCGGGTACCCCCGCCCTGCAGCCGTCGCTAGGGGGCGTGGCCGCGCGCCGCGTGAGAGGCTCGCGCCTCATGAATATTCTGGTATGCAGATGAGGCCCCCGCCCGGTTGCCATGGCTCCCGGGCCGCAGCCCCGCGGCCGGAAGAACTGGCGGAGTCGGAGAGCGCCGCGGCCGCGGGCACCCAGGGCCGAGCCCCGGGCTGGGCACCCCGGCGCCCCGCAGGTGAGGGGAAGCCCGGGCCGAGGTGGACTCAGCAGAGCCTCTGGGGCCCAGCGACAGCCTCAGAGGTCAAAAGGTGTCCCCGCGGAGGCCACGCCCGCGCCTCGGGACTTGCTGGGGCTGGCTCCAGGGTGGGGTCACTCCAGGGTGGGGTCATGGGAAGGGAGCCAGGTGTGCCCTGGGTACTGGGCCGTGAAGGGAGGAGCCAGGGCCGTCGCCAGCCTCGGGCCTTGGGGGCGTGGCAGAGGAGCAGTGTCCAGGAGTGGGGGCTTGGGCCTAGCTGCCTCCAACCCCTGGACTTTGAACCCCTTGGGGCCTGGCTGAGGCAGGACCCTCGGCCACCCATGGGCGTCCAGGGCCAGCCCGTCTCCCTGGCCATGATGAGGTGGCAGTTGGGCATGGTGGGGATTAGCTGGGAGGCCTAGGGCCGGGCACCAGCTGCAGGAGGGCAGGCAGCAGGGAAAGTCCACGGGGCTCCCCAGGGGACCTGCGCGTTCCTGGGTCCTCAGCATGTGGGTCACTATCCAGACCGGACCCCTGAGGCTCTCTCCCCAAAGCCTCTAAGTCCAGCTGACTGCACCCCCTGTCCAGGAGGCCCGCCGCATCGGTGGGTGGAGGGGATGAACCCGGCCGTGGGCAGTGTGCGCCTCCCCTGGGCAGTGGTTTCCGCCCACCCACATCTGTCTCTGGGGAAGGTGACCCTGGGAAGCCTAGCAGGGATGGAGTGCGGCCAGGGCCTGTGTGGAGGATACAGCCGGGGGTCCCAGACAGCAGCAGGGGGGCCAGGAACACGCTAGAAATTCCTCCAGGGGCCCGGGGGCTCAGGAGAGGCCAGTGTGGGGGAGCAGGGAAGTGGGGGTCTGAGCAGCCCCAGCAGTGCCCTGGCCCTCAGCAGGATGGTCCCGGGGGGAGCTCGGGGCTGCTCGCTGGCTGACCGCTGCCAATGCTGCCACACGTGCCCACTTCTGGCACGGGGACCCTGACCTGGCCCAGCCGAGGTGACCCTGACTCTTTGGCAGGTGCCGCTCGGGACCCATGCCACCCCCTTGCCCTGATGTCTGACCCACAGCAGAAGGCAGCTGCCTGCAGGTGAGCAGTGGGGCGGGGTCTCAGAGAGAAGGACCCACAGCCCCGGGGGCTCGGTAGTGGTCACTCAGTGCTGGTCTCTGCAGGCAGCCGGTCTGACCGCTCACAGCCTGTGGGGACTGCGGGGGTGGCCTGGAGCCAGCACTCCTGTGTGGACACAAGCTGGGGCAGGGGCACGCAGAGGGCACCTGCCTAGCCGGGGAGCTCTGCATTGCGGCTGGAGCTGGGACCGTGCGGCCCTCCACCTAGGCTGAGGCGTGCCAGGCCAGGCCCCGGTGCCAGGGCCCTGGGCGGGAGTCCCAGCTGGGCCTTCAGCTTAGAGCCTTGCGTCTGCCCCCCACCCCACCCCCAGCAGGTTAGACGTGGATGGACGCAGGCTGGGATGGATCCTGTGGGCCGCGGCCAAGCTCAGCCAGCGTCCAGGTGCGGGAGCTGAGCTGGCAGGGCCTGCACAACCCCTGCCCTCGCAGCAAGGGCCCGGGCGGCCGCAGGGGCAGCCATGGGGAGCAGCTGGTGGAGAAGCACCTGTCCCCGGCCCGGCTGGTAGGTGCCAGGGCCTGGGGGTTTGTGTGGGGGGATGTCCTGGGCCTCCTTCCTGCTCACATCCAGTCTGCTCCCTGACCCCGCCTGGGTGACGGTGCCCTCCACTCCCTACGTGCGTGGGGCCCCCACCAGACCCCGGAGCGCCAGCAGCCCCGGTCTCCTTGGCAGGTGGCCCTGGGCTAGGCAGGTCCAGAGGTCTCTGAAGCAGGGGGAGTCCCTGGTTCAAGTGGCTGAGGCTCTGGTGGGGACAGAGCGTCAGCACACAGGTGCCCAGGGTGCTGGGGCCAGGGCAAGAGGCCACCAGGCAGGGTGGGGACACACGTGGGGCACCGGGCATCACGACCCAGCTGCCGGCTCAGGGCTCCAGGGTCCGTGTGCCTTTGCCTGGATACAGCCCAGGCCTCAGGCTGGCCTTCACAGCCCACGGCCCCTCAGGCCGAGCACAGCTCCCACGTCTGCCCACGTCACTCACGTCCCACCAGGCACGCCATCCAAGGCCAAGGCCAACACAGGAGAGGCAGAGAACTGCCGCCCTAGTGGGTGCCCAGGGCTGAGGGCACCGGCGTGCCCAGGAGGCCATGACCCCCACCCCCGTTGGCTTCTGCAGCGAGCCCTGGCCGGGGAGGACGACCTTCAGCTGGTGCGGGTGCTGGAGATGTGCGTGGACACGCGGGAGAGCAGCCTGGGGAACTTCGGTGAGGCCCCCTCCCGCGGCCAGCCCCAGGGCTCTGCCCGTACCCCTCCACGCCCACACACCCCATGCCTGCTGGGGGACGCTGCGCCCGGGCTCCGCCCACAACCCTGCTACACCTGCCGGGGCTCCACCCACACATACCACGCCTGGCGGGGCTCCGCCCACACCCGCCACGGCTCTGCCCAGACACCCATGCCACGCCCGGGCTCCGCCGCACCCATGGCCCTCCTGGGCTCTGCCCACAACCCCCTCACCTGCCTTGAGCTCCACCCCACGCCTGCCGGAGCTCCTCCCACACAAGCCGCGGCCAGCCTGGGGCTCTGCCCACACTCACCCACCCACACACCTGCATTCCCCGCTGGGGCTCCCCGGGGCTCCACCCGCTGATCCTGGGCCGGGTGTTTCCTGGGTGGGGGGACCTTGTCTCCAGGGTGCACTGCACAGCCGCAGGGGCCAGGGATTGTCCTCCGGGTGTCTGCTCCTGCTGCAGGGGTCCACGTGCCCCATCCTGGGGGGTCTCGGGTGTTCTGTGGCATTCTGTTTTGCCTTTTCCTGTTGGTTTGGCCACTCCGGTCCTGCCTGCTGGCCCTGGTCTCCAGTCCACTGCGCCCTGGACTGTCATGGGCCCCATTTGTCTCACCAGGCCGGTGCCCTGTCTCTGGGAGGACCCAGAAGTCGGGGCCATTCCCAGGGACTCGGGGCATGCTGGGTCACCCACTGGGGCATTCCCGTGACATGACGGGGCCCCCTGTGCTGCCCCCTGATGCCGGTGCTGGTCTGGGGGTGCTGGGTGCTGGAGGAGGGAGCTCAGGGGCTCGGCAAGCTGACCCAGGAGCCTGGCGGCCTGAGTTGCCCTGGCCGCCCTGTGCCCTCTGCAGTGTGCAGGGGCCCAGAGGGGGTGTGAGTGAGGCAGCAGAGACCTGGCTGTGGCTGGGCCGGGGCTACACCAACCTTTTACTCCCCCGTGGCCCCCAGGAGTGCACCTGCCCAGCCTGAACCAGCTGAAGTTGAATGGCAGCCGGCTGGGCTCCCTCAGGTGGGTGTCTCCCAGGGAGTGGGGTAGGGGGTCTGAGGGTGAGCCCCACAGGGCTGAGGAGGGAGCTCATGTATGGTGGGGCTTGGGCTGGGTGTGGCCCCCAGGAGCCCAGAATTCCCCAGCAGCCTGTTGTCTGCCCTCGGGGGCTGACCTCGTGGAAGGCAGGGGGCATTCGCAGGTGTGGCTCCCTCCTAGGTGGGGGTGTCTCTGTGGGAAGGGGGAGAGGCTCAGGGTGCTAATGCCCACCCCTTTGCAGCCTGATGGGCTCGTGTCATCCCCTGTCAGGGTCAGGGTGGAGATGGTTCCGGGGCCACGACGCCTGAGGGCAGCCGGGGACCCCAGGGAGGACGGCGTGAGAGGGCCAGCCCACAGAGCCCGGGAGCCGCCGGGCTGGAGCTCAGGCCGTCAGAACCACTCTCTGCAAAGCATCCTGGTGAACGTGAGATGCAGCCACCCACGCAGGACGAAGCTGCAGTGGGTTTGGTGGATTCTGTCCTGGGTGTTGCTGGGTTTAGGTGGCAACAGGGTGGGAATTCCCCACCTGAGTGCACCCAGCCAGTTTCCAGGTGAGAAGACCCAGGTATTCAGGGAGCAGCCTCCTTGTGCGTTTTCTTGGCTCTGCTGATTTCTGCTGCGTTTGTCAGATGACGAAAGGGACCTAATAAACACAGGCAAGGAGACATGGGAAAACGAAGACGACCTCCTGGAAGCCAGCCAGAGCAGAGCTGACCTAGGGCACGTGCCGGACACGGAGCAGAGATGACCATAGGGCGCGTGCAAGGACACGGAGCAGAGCTGACCTAGGGGCGCCGTGCACGGACACGGAGCAGAGCTGACCTGGGGCGCCGTGCACGGACACGGAGCAGAGCTGACTGGGGCGCCGTGCACGGACACGGAGCAGAGCTGACCTGGGGCGCCGTGCACGGACACGGAGCAGAGCTGACCTGGGCGCCGTGCACGGACACGGAGCAGAGCTGACCTGGGGCGCCGTGCACGGACACGGAGCAGAGCTGACCTGGGGCGCCGTGCACGGACACGGAGCAGAGCTGACCTGGGGCGCCGTGCACGGACACGGAGCAGAGCTGACCTGGGGCGCCGTGCACGGACACGGAGCAGCAGCTGACCTGGGGCGCCGTGCACGGACACGGAGCAGAGCTGACCTGGGGGCCGTGCACGGACACGGAGCAGAGCTGACCTGGGGCGCCGTGCACGGTACACGGAGCAGAGCTGACCTGGGGCGCCGTGCACGGACACGGAGCAGAGCTGACCTGGGGCGCCGTGCACTGACACGGAGCAGAGCTGACCTGGGGCGCCGTGCACGGACACGGAGCAGAGCTGACCTGGGGCGCCGTGCACGGACACGGAGCAGAGCTGACCTGGGGCGCCGTGCACGGACACGGAGCCGAGCTGAACCTGGGGCGCCGTGCACGGACACGGAGCAGAGCTGACCTGGGGCGCCGTGCACGGACACGGAGCAGAGCTGACCTGGGGCGCCGTGCACGGACACGGAGCAGAGCTGACCTGGGGCGCCGTGCACGGACACGGAGCAGAAGCTGACCTGGGTTTGTTTTGGCTCGTGCACGGACACGGAGCAGAGCTGACCTGGGGCGCCGTGCACGGACACGGAGCAGAGCTGACCTGGGGCGCCGTGCACGGACACGGAGCAGAGCTGAACCTGGGCGCCGTGCACGGACACGGAGCAGAGCTGACCTAGGAGTAGACACCCCCGGGACCCCCATCGATCACTGAGCCACACCGTGAGCGAGTCAGGGCTTGCCAAGTACACTTCTCAGGAATGTGCGTGTTCCACGTGAGGGAGCGATGTTCTGCCTCGGGGGTCCGCCCTGCTTTCCAGGCCCCTCCGCGGGGAGCAGCCGCGGGTCCTTTACCTGCTGTGCACACGGATGGGCAGCAGCGTTGGCCCGAGCACTTCTCCTGGCTTCTGCGTGGCCCGGCCCTGGCTATTGCTGCATTTGGACAGTAGCCACACTCACTCTCATAAATAAAATGAATAAAAAATAAGAAAAAAGTGAATTGTTTAAGATTTATTTTATTTGAAAGGCAGAGTTACAGAGAGAGAAAGGTCTTCTATCCACTGGTTCACCCCAGATGGCCTCAATGGCCAGGACCGGGCCAGGCTGAAGCCAGGAGCCTGGGGCTCCACCCAAGTCTCCCAAAGCAGGTGGCAGGGACCCGAGCACTCGAGCCCTCCCTGGAAGCTGGATCAGAAGCAGAGGGGCCAGGATTTGAACCAGGCTTAACTGCTGCACCAAACACCGATGCTGTCGTTTAGACAAAGCAAGTGGAGCATTCCACAGACACTTGAAGCCAGAAGACGGTGGAACACGGCTCCTGCAGCCTGGGGGGCGCGGGGTGGGGGGCACGCTTCGAGCCTCACACTCGGCCACGGGACCGCAGAGGCGCCTGGAGGCCAGGGCACGGCCCCGAGCTGCTCGGAAAGGAATTGCAAAGCCACAGGCAGAGGATGAACACCGCCACGGGCACAGGCTGAGGGCACCAGGAGGAAAGAGCCCGGTGGGCAGGCGGAGCGGCAGACGGCGCCCCCCAGGACACTGCAAGCTGGAGTCGGATGCCAAGGCGCTTGCCCAGCCAGGGGACACGGGTGACCGCGTCAGAGGCGGCCGGAATGCGGGGGCAGGTGCGCCGCCGCTCAGCCACTGGTCCCTCCAGACCAGCAGGCTCACCCGGGCAGCGTCCACCCCCACGTCAGTGTCCTCAGGGGTTCAGGGCTTCAGCATTTTGGGCCCTTGGTCCCGACGTGAATGCCCGAGAAGCTATTAACGATGTCCCAGAAATAAAAACCATGGTACCTGGAGCAGGAGAGAGGCCCAGCCCCATCCCGCAGAGGGCAGCTCCCCAGGGCCAGGCCAGGCTGGGGCGGGTGGAGGACGCTGCTCCCTGACTCCGGAGGCTGCCCAGCACACCTGGCCGGACATGGGGACTTCCCTGGCCAGAGACGCGCCCCTCCACCCTCGACCGGCACTGACCACTGCCCAACCCTGCCTTCTGCAGAGACCTGGGCTCCTCCCTGGGCCGCCTGCAGGTGCTGTGGCTGGCCCGCTGCGGTCTGGCTGACCTGGACGGCGTCGGCTCCATGCCAGCACTGAAGGTGGGTCTCTGGCACCCCAGGCAGGGTGGGGGTGTCCCAGGCCCTGCCCCGCTGAGCCGCCCCCTCTCTCCCAGGAGCTGTTCGTCTCCTACAACAACATCTCGGACCTGAGCCCGCTGTGCCTGCTTGAGCACCTGGAGGTGCTGGACCTGGAGGGCAACAGCGTGGAGGACCTGGGGCAGGTGGGCTACCTGCGGCTGTGCCCACGGCTGGCCACGCTCACCCTGGAAGGCAACCTGGTGTGCCTGCGGCCGGACCCCGGCCCCGCCAGCAAGGTGCGGCCAGCGTGCGTGCGGGAGGGGCCGTCCCACAGGCCAGAGACCCCTGCCCCCTCTGCCACAGTGGGCTCCCTGTGAGCTCGGCGTCTTCTGTCTCTGGAGGCTTGCCAGCTGCCCGCTCCCCAGTCCAGACCTCATACCCCACCCCACAAGATGCCCGTGCCCTCCTGGGCCTGCCTGCCCCACACCCCTCAGGTTACACACACACACACACACACACACACACACACACCAGCTGCCCACCCCCTAGTCCAGACCTCATACCCTACCCCACAAGATGCCCGTGCCCTCCTGGGCCTGCCTGCCCCACACCCCTCAGGTTACACGCACACACACACACACACACACACCAGCTGCCCGCCCCCCAGTCCAGACCACATACCCCACCCCACAAGATGCCCGTGCCCTCCTGGGCCTGCCTGCCCCACACCCCTCAGGTTACACGCACACACACACACACACACCAGCTGCCCGACCCCCAGTCCAGACCACATACCCCACCCCCACAAGATGCCTGTGCCCCTCCTGGGCCTGCCTGCCCCACACCCCTCAGGTTATACGCGCACACACACACACACACACACCAGCTGCCTGCCCCCCAGTCCAGACCTCATACCTGTCGCTCCCCCTCTTCGTGGAGGAACGACACTAAGCCCTGCCTAGGCTTCATATCCGAGTCACGGCACCATTATGTCGCTCCCCCTCTTCGTGGAGGAACGACACTGGACCCTGCGCTGTTCTTTGGTCTGCTCGGCCCTCCCCGGGTTTGCTGCTGGTTCTTCCCGGGTTGGCTACCGTCCCTTCCACCTCCGTGGAAGGGCGGTTCCCCCTGCCACTTTCCCCACTTCCGCGGGGGAGCGGCACACCGCCGGCCGGCTCTCTCGGGGGCTGCTCAGGTGTTCCTTCAGATAGATGTTCCTGGTACATGTTGTCTCTCTCCTCCTTTATAGTCCTCTTCCACCAATCCCAACTCTGCTACCCACACGCCGAGTACGCTGCTCTCCTCCAATCAGGAGCAGGTCCTACAGTTTATTGGTTGAACTGGAGGCAGCTGTGTAGAAGCTGTTTCTCCCTTCTCAGCGCCATATTGTGGGAGAGCAGATGCATAGAATAAGTCTTAATTCCAGTAACTTAGTCTAGTCCGAGTTGCTCCCCACACATACCCCACCCCACAAGATGCCTGTGCCCTCCTGGGCCTGCCTGCCCCCACACCCCTCAGGCTACATGCACACACATGTGCCCATGTACACCCCTGTGCTGGAGGGAGCGTGCTCCTGAACCCCTGGCCCACTCCTGCCCACCACAGCCTACACACTGCCACTGGCCACTGCTAGGTGGAGCCACATGATGGGATCAGTGTCCACCCTGCGCACAGCCTTGAAGTCCAGGCAGCTCCACAAACCAGAGGCGCAGAGGGAGGACATGCGCCCTGAGTGGGCGGGGGCAGGCCCAGGGGCCCAGAGTGGACCAGCCCAGCCCCATCGCTCCCCCTGGGGGTCCTACTGGCGGTGTGCCCTACTGGGGATCTGGGGGAGGGAGCCCCAGGACGAAGCTGGGTTGAAGGGCCCACTGGACACAAACCTGCCATCCCTGGCTCGCCCCAACCCTGCAGGCGCCCCCGGGCTACAACTACAGGGCCGCGGTGAGGCGGCTCGTCCCCCAGCTGCAGCTGCTGGATGAGGTGCCGGCCACCCACACGGGCCTGCCGGCCCCTCCGAAGCTGGACCAGGACTGGCTCATGGTGAAAGAAGCCATCAAGGAGGCCAGCGTCCTGCCCTGGCTGGGTACGGCGGCCGCCCGCAGAGGGCACACCCCTCCCCCCACATCTGGTCCCCGCTCCAGCCCTGAGCCCTGGTCCTCTAGGAGTGGCCCTGGTGCTCGGCAGAGAGGGCTGGCCTGGGCAGAGGGCCTCGGGGCACGCAGCTGCCCTCACAGCAGACGCGGACCTGGGCCCAGTGAGCTCTCGTTCTGACCCGGGCAGATGGACACCATGGAGCTGCTGTGCAGAGCCTGGACCTGGAGCTGTCCCTGTCCAGGACCCGGCCCTGGGCCCCCAGGCACCTGCCCTCCTCCTCGCTGGTCCCTGAGGGCCCCTTGGCTGACGGCCTGCCTGCTGAGGAGCTGGCCCCAGACGACCACGCCAGCAACCTCACCCTCGGTAACTGACCCCTCCCAGCCCTCACTGGCTCCGCAGCACCCGGCCCCAGACCAGGCCCAGCCACACCCTCTCTTACAGGTGCCGGCCGAGTGCTGTGCGGGAACCCCACCAGAGGCCTGTGGGAGCGCAGACAGCAGTGCCAGGTACCACCTGCCCCTGACGGTGGGCTGGCACCCAGCCCCCCACACCCACCAGGGGGGCTTCCCCAAGCAGCTTCATCTCTCCAGGCCTGGACTTCCCCGGAGCAGCCGCCCCAGTGCAGGCCAGAAGAGCCGGCCGCCGGCACCCCCAGCCCAAGGCCTGGGCCTCAGCCCCAGAGACACCCTGGGCTGTGTCACCCAGCACCCAAACCATGGTATGTCCTTCCTGATGGGGCGGGCAGGACGGAGGGCCGCCATGGCTGAGCGGGCAGCAGCGGTTATCAGCCCTGGACAGCTACCCCTGGGGCACCCGGACCCCCACGCTCACTACACCGTGTGCCAGGGGACAAGGCTGCAGCTGCTCCCCTCCCTCACCTCGGCCCTCCCCCACAGGCACCTGCCGTCCCAGCAGAGAGGAGCTGCAGCCCCCCGGGGCCCGTGGAGGGTCCCTGAGCAGCAGGACGGCCAGGCTGGACCCAAGACTTCCTCCAGCCCCCTGAGCCCAGCCTCAGGTACTGAGCCTGCCCGAGAGTAAAGGACCCCCACCTTGGGATGCCCCCTCCCCCGGCCTCAGACCAGCAGCCAACAGCTCGGCCCCCAGGGCTCTGAGCAGGATGGGCAGGAAGGTCCTCTCCTGGGGGGGGGGGGGCTCCCAGCCCAGAGTGGGCCGATCCCAAGTCCCCTTCCCTTCAGGCCCTCAGGACCACCTGGGCAGGGCGGGGCGGGAGAAAGAGAGAAGCAGAGAGAGAGAGACAGAGAGACAGAGAGAGAGAGAGAGAGACAAGGACAGAGAGAGAGAGACAGAGAGAAGCAGAGTGTGTGTGGGGGAGAGAGAGAGAGAGACAGGGACAGAGAGAGAGAGAAGCAGAGTGTGTGTGTGTGGGGGGGAGAGAGAGAGAGAGAGAGAAGCAGAGTGTGGGGGGGGAGAGAGAGAGAGACAGGGACAGAGAGAGAGAGAAGCAGAGTGTGTGTGTGTGTGGGTGGGAGAGAGAGAGAGAGAGAGAGAAGCAGAGTGTGTGTGTGTGTGTGGGGAGAGAGAGAGAGAGAGAGAGAGAGAGAGAGAGAGAAGCAGAGTGTGTGTGTGGGAGAGAGAGACAGGGACAGAGAGAGAGAGAAGCAGAGTGTGTGTGGGAGAGAGAGACACAGAGAGAGAGAGAGAGAAGCAGAGAGTGTGTGTGGGAGAGAGGGAGAGACACAGAGAGAGAGAAGCAGAGAGAGAGAGACACACAGAGAGAGAAGCGGAGTGTGTGTGTGGGAGAGACAGGGACAGAGAGAGAGAGGAGAGGGGCCTCCCAGGACCGGGCGTGTGCAGCATTGTGGCGGCTGTGCCAGCCGGTAGGACGTGCCCATAGGGCAGCTCTCGGGGCAGCGGGCGTGAGGCCACCAGATCTGTCAGGAGACCACAGCAGAGGGGACGCCGCTGCTTCACCCCAGGATTCAGAGTGACCGCACCTTGGAAGCAGGGAAAACCCTCACCCAGCAGGGTGGGCGAGCCTTGGGAGGGGTCATTGCTAGTGGGGGCCTCAGGGCGACCCCCTGGGCTGAGCGGGCTGGCAGCCCTGCAGGAGACAGGGCGAGGGGTCCCCTCCCAGCCTCCTGCCTCAGGTCCAGGCCCAGTGAGCACTGGAGGTAGGGACTGGCCAGGGCCACAGGCGGATGGGACCCAGAGGACCAAAGCCCGAGCCAGGCCTTGCGGCCTCTGCCTGCCCCAGAGGTCACAGGCTGGAAGCCCATGGGTGCCTCTGCCCGTGGGAGCCCATAGTGGGGGCAGAGACCCCCTCCACCGCAGACCCCACTGACCCGTCTCCCCCTGCCTTCTAGAGCCTTCCAGGAGCCTTGGCGGTGACCTGACGCCTTCTCCCCCCAAGCACCCACCTGGCCACCCTCCAGGGTCTGCAGGCCTGCCATTCAGGGGGCGGCGGCTCCGAGCCCTGACCAGCCTGGGGCCTGGCCTGGGGCCGGGAATGGCTACAGTGACTGCCCTGAGGGCCCTGGAGGTGGCCTCGGGCCCAGGACCCCCATGCCCAGGACGTCCAGACCCACAGGCGGCACCGGATCCGGCAGCCAGAGCCCGGGGCCTCCAGTGCCTGCGGCCCCTGAACCCCATCACTCCGGCCCCTTCCCGCCCTTAGTGCAAGCCCTGCCCTTGTGGGAGCCGCTCGCAGAACCCGGAGCACCTGGGCAGGTGTGTTGGGGGCAGAAGGTGGGTCTGGAGGGGCCCCTCCTGGAGGAGGGGGCTGCCGGGAGGCGGCAGAAGCCAGGACCAGCTCGGGTCCCGGCTGCCCAGCCGCCCAGCCCTCCCCCTGGCCTGCCTTTGTCCCAGGTTGCCGTGGCCTTGCCTTGGGCCCCTGCCCCCCAGGGTTTGCGAGGTGCCTTCCCTCGGCGCAGAGTGCCAGGATCCAAGAGATTCCAGCTCTGGGTGGAAAGAAGTGTAAGGTTTACTGTGCAGGCAACGCTGGCTCAATAAACAGGCCCCGGGCACGTGTGCCTGGCGCTAGCGCCGCCCCCGGGCGTCGGCTGTGATGGGTGGGCAGCAGAGGAAGCGGAAGCCGAACCTGCTCTCAGCCGTGTTCTGCACAGACAACACCACCATCGGGCAGTCGCGGTCCACGCTTCTGCGGCCAACCTGCAGGGCACAGCTCAGCAGTGCAGCGAAGCCGGCCCACTGCCCGGCACGCCTGCACACACACCCCCTCCCCCGCGCCCCTGCACACACAAACCCTCCCCCGCGCCCACTGCCCCTCGCCCCTGCACACACCACACCCTCCCCCATGCCCAAAGCCTTGCATGCCTGCGCACACACACCCTCCCCCGCGCCCACTGCCTTGCACGCCTGCACACACACCCTTCCCGCGCCCACTGCCCTGCGCCCCTGCACACACACACACCCTCCCCCGTGCCCCTGCACACACACACACCCTCCCCCGTGCCCAAAGCCTTGCACGCCTGCACACACACACACACCCTCCCCCGCACCCCTGCACACACACACCCTCCCCCATGCCCAAAGCCTTGCACACCTGCACCCGGTGCTCCTTCCTGGCCTGGCAGTCCTGGAGGCCCAGCCTGGCCTCTGCGGGACACAAGGATGGGGGGTCAGGCCGGCTCAGCCCGCCCCCTTCCCCGCCCCGCGCTCGCTCGCGCACCCAGGAGGAAGTTGAGGAGCTCCGGTGCCGGGTACTTGGAGGACTCGGGCCGCGCGGGCTCCTCCCGCGGGTGGAAGCTCTCGCCGGGGGTCAGGGTCCGCAAGGCTCCCAGAGTCGCCGAGGGGTCGAGGGGTCCTGAGGGCCGCAGCCTGCCCAAAGGAAGGCAGCACAGACGGGGACTGGGCCTCGGGCGCCGGGCCAGCCTCCGGGGCGTCCTGGGAAAGGCCTGGCCAGGAGGCCCAGAGGGCGGGCTTCCCTGGGGCGAGGCCTGGAGAGGGGGCAGGCCCCGAGGCACCCGCAGCCCCCCTTCCAGCCTCCCGCGCCCGCCCGGGGCCTCCGGCAGCCGGGCTTCGCGCAGGCGTCGTGGCGGGCATCGCGGCTCGCCCATGTCGGCGCCGGGCTGGGCCTCAGGGAGCGGGAAGCTGTCCTCGGCGAAGAGCCGGGCAGTCGGAGTCACGCAGTGCGGGGCCTGGTGCCTGCTGAGGACCTGCGGGAGGCCGGCAGGGGCGAGTGGGTCGCCGGCCGGTGCCGCCCGCCCATCCCTCTCCCCGCGGGGGCGCGCTCGGACCTCGCCTTCGCGGCCCAGGAGCAGGGTCACGCAGCCCGGGCTGACGCGGAAGTAGAGCGGCTCCCGGCCCGAGGATGCAGCCGGTGGCTGCTCGGCGCTGCGAGCGTCCTCACCCCACACCTGCAAACGGCACGCGGTGACGGGCGGCGCGGGCCGGGCCTGGGACGCGTGTGCGCGGGCGCGCGCAGCGGGGCGCACCGTGAGCTGGTGCCGCGGGGCCAGCAGCGTGCCGGGCGGGAAGCGGTACAGGCACACCGGGAAGCCGTGCTCCAGCTGCCGCAGCGTGAGGCCGGCCATGTCGGCCGTGTGCTCCAGCGACTGATTGAGGATGCGGACGAACTTCTGCCGCCGGCTCACGGCCACGATCTTCAGGGAGTAGCTGGGGCTGGGCGGGGAGGGCAACGCTGGGCCCACATCGCCACCGACAAGTGCCCGTCCCGGGGCGGGGTGCACCTGCTCCTGCCAGCGCACTCACCTCACCCCGGGCCCTGCACGCGGAGGGTCAGCCTGCGCCCCGGCATCGGGCTCCAGGCCGGCCTTGCTGAGACGGCCGTATTGGGTTATCTGGAGACCTAGAAAAAGCAGCCCTTGGGGGAGGGGAGCCCACGCGAGTGGGATGCTCTGGGTCAAGGCTAAACCAGCCAGAGGCCAGTGGGGCCGGAGAGGTGGCTGGACACTGGGGACTGAAGGGCCAGTTCATGCTGGGCAGAGGTCACAGCCGTGGGAGAGCCCGATGGCACAAAAACGGGCAGGGGCCACGGCCCCACCCCACCTTCCATCCCCAGGGGCTCTGCTCCGCTGAGCTTCTTGGCCAGCACATCCTCCTTCGGTGCCCGAGAGGACAGGTCCAGCTGGCAGCTGCTGGAGTCGGAGCCGGCGCCGCCGGAGCTGCTGGTGCCCACCCGGGGCAGGGAGCTCCACTCGACAGTCTTGTGAGGCCTCTCTTCGGCGTGGGGCCTCTCATCAGGCTGAGAGCGCCCAGGGTCCAGCAGCGTGGGTGTCTGGGGCAGGAGCTCCCTGGGAACCACGCTCAGGTTGCTGGACCCCCGCTCTGCCCCATGCAGCTCCCCTAAGGCAGGAGGGCCTTTGGCAGCCCCCCCGCCCCCCCGCACACGAGCAGCGGAGAATCCAGGCCAATTGTCCAGGGACCCTAAAGGGCAGAGCCTGGACCTTGCCCCGCCCACCAAGGTGCACCCCACCCCCACGTCACTGTGACTCGATGCTGGTGAAGAGGTTGGGGTAGCGGTGGGCGATGCTGTTCCAGTCCACATCCTCCAGTCGGAAGCCCTGCCCAGGAAGAAACCGGACCCTGGTTCTCCCCTCCTGCAGGCCGCAGAGCCCCTCTGGGTGGGGGAGGCGCTCACTCACCTCCCCTGCCGTGGGGACCTGATCGCTCTCACAGACGCTGTCGCTGGGGTCCACAAGGGCCTCTGTGGTCACCACCTGCGCGGGGCAGCCAGAGGGCAGGCTCCCCCAGCAGGGGCCGCCCTCAGGGAGTCCCAGTGGAGCTGGGGAAGGGCCTGGGCTCACCTCCACGCTGCCGGTCTGGGATCGCAGCACGCGGCCCACCCAGGACGAGCGGGCCATCTGCAGGAGGCAGGACTTCTGGAAGGTCTGCAGCTCGGCCTCCAGCTGGTGCAGCCGCTGCTCCAACAGCTCCTTCTCCTGCGCAGGGAGCCGTGGGACGGGGCCCCTGCAGGCCCGGCCCCGTCCAGCCCCGGCCGGCTGCCCCCAGCCTCACCCGCTGGGCTTGCTGCTTCTGCTCCCTCAGCTCCAGGCGGAGCTTCCGCACCTGGTTCTGCAGGAACCTCTGCTGGCTGCGGGGGCTCCTGGGGGCAGAGGCCCCTCAGCAGCCAGGGGAGGGAGGGGGCTTCCCAGCAGGGGTCTAGGTCACGCCCAGGGTCAGGCAGGAGCCGGGGCTTGGGCTGGGCTGCGCCTGCCACTGACCTCTGGGGTGGAAACCCCGCCACCTCCTGCAGGAGCTGGCGCTGCCGGGCGTCCTGGCCATTCTGAACAGCCCACCGCAGCGCGCGGATCTCCAGTTCTCGCTGGCCCCACAGCAGCTGCAGGGTGCGGGGGTCCAGGGACTCCGGGGCCAAGCTGTGAGCCAGCACCCACGATGCTCCATCAGGCCGGGCACTCCAGCTGGCCCAGCCCGGCAGCTGACTCCTCCTCCTCCCTCCCTTACCGCAGGGTGGCCGAGGAGACCGCCGGTGGCGAAGGGGGCTTGGTGTCCTGCAGGCAGCCGGGGGCCAGGGTGTCAGTGTGTGAGCTGGGAACGCTGGCTGGTGGCCCCGGGTCACCACCGAGTGGCTCCCCATCTGCCAGGGGCAGGGGAGCCCCCTCCCCAGCTTCTTCAGACAGCAGGCCAGACTTGGGGGCCATTCTCGGTGTTCTCGGGGGGCCGGGAGGGGTGGCTGGCCAAGCGTTCCCTGTGTCCGGTGCGTGGGCTCCTGCTGGGCCATCCGTGGGTGTCAGCAAGGCCCCAGCAGCACTGCTGAGGGGCCCCATGTGCACCTGTCCACCCCCCAGGACACCAGACCACCATCCCATGGGCACCCACCCTGACTGCCACCCACCAGGGGTAAAATGGCCCCCGCAGGGCACACACCCCCTTGTCTCTGTCCCCAAGTGCTGGCTGGTGTCCCCACCCCAGTCCAGGGCCCCAGCCCCAACACTGACCCGAGGCCTGAGTGCCCAGCAGGCCTAGGGAAGGAAGGGCTCTCTGGTTGCCGTGGATACTGGCACCACAAGTGGGTGGGGCTGTTTGTTACCAGGCACCTCCAGAGAGAACCCCCCCAGACCAGGGCTCAGCTGGAGGAGGTGCGCCCAGCCAGCCCTAGCCTGGTGCTGGTGAGGGAGTTCTGGGGGCGCCGGGCCCTGGGAGGACTGGGACAGAGAGCCAGGTGTGGAGAGAAACTAGGGCAGCCGCCGGCAGTGTACACCCCGGCACCCAGCGCCTGGTGCTCCCCTAACCGTGGGAGTGACCGCGACAGGGTTCCCGTGCGCCAGGGAACACACCGCAGCCCCACCCAGGCCAGGGGCAGGCGGGACGAGCCTGGGGTGGCACAGGCTCCGCGTGCCACCCTGGCTGCCCGGCTGCCCCCGCGGAGGGGCTCCGGGCCCGCGCCCGGGCGCGCAGGCCAAGCTGTCCGCAGGGCCCCGCCGGGGTCACAGCCCCAGCCTTCGTCCCCCGCCGCCCTGCGGGGCGCCCCCGACCCCGGGCGACCCGGCGACAGTCGCCGCGGGTCCTGAAGGAGAAGGCTGGGCTGGGCGGGGGAGGGGGGCGTCCCGCTGGACGGCGGCGAGGAAGTCGGCCCGGAGCCGGCACGCACCTGCCCCGCAGCGCCGCAGCGGCAGACGCTCTTCCGCGTTGTTCGCCGGCGGGAGCGGCCGGGCCTCGCCTCCCGCCGGGCCCCGCCCACACCTGGGCGCCGCGGGGGGCGTGGCGGGCGGAGAGCCAATGGGGCGGGGCGAGGCGGAGTCAGCCAATGGCCGCGGGCGCGGGGCGGGATGCACGCTGTGAGGAGCTAATGAGGGCGCGGCGGGGCGGGACGTGTGGGCCGTGGGCCAATGGGGTCGTGGAGCCGGGGCGCGCCGCGGCGCTGGGGGCGGCAAGTGGCGGCGGCGCCGAAGCGCCCCAGCGCCGGAGTCGCGGAGGCCGGCGACCGCCCAGGTGAGCTGCGCGGCTGCTCGGGCCTCGCCGGGCGCGAGGCGCGGCCGGGGCACCGACTCCGGCCGAGGAGAGTTTTGCGCGGAGCGGGGATGGGAGGGCGCGCGGGGGCCGCGCCGCACCTGCACCCTCCCGCTGCTCGGCGGGGCAGGGAGGCCGAGGTGCGGCCCGCGGGGAGCGCGGTGCGCGCGGTGCGCGCGGTGCGCGCGGGAGACGGAGCCCGGACCCCCCAGCCAACGCACCGAAGGGCCGGGCGCGGGGGAGGGGGCTGCCCGGGCCTGGAGTCGGGTCGGTCCAGAGGGTCCGGAGCGCCCAGGGCCGCGGGGGCGTCGCGGGCGCCCGTGGGTGCCCGGAGACCGCCGCCCTCGCTGCTGCCCGGGAGGGGCAGCGTCCTCTGAGCCAGGTGACTGGTGGGGGGGGCAGGAAATCCTGGATCTGGTTAATGATTCGCTTGGTTCCTGGAGTGGGGGCGGGGCACGGGGCGGCTGGCGCGGGGCGGGGACGCCTCCAAGTGCCCACCGGGGGAGGGCAGGACTGACCCTAAGGGCGGCAGCCCCGAGCCAGTTCCGGGGGGCAGACTGGGAGGAGAGGGCGTCCCTGCTGACCGGCGACCTGTACCTCCCCTCAGGACAGGGATGCTCTTGGGGCCGGCGGCCATGGAGCTGAAAGTCTGGGTGGACGGCGTCCAGAGGGTGGTCTGTGGGGTCTCAGAGCAGACCACCTGCCAGGAAGTGGTCATCGCACTAGCCCAGGCAATAGGTGAGTCTTTGGGGGCACAAAGGGTCTCAGGGTGCCCACCCTCTGGCCGGCCGGGTAGACGGGGCGGGGCCGTGGCTGACCCTGTGCCATTTCCCCTTTAGGCCAGACGGGCCGCTTCGTGCTGGTCCAGCGACTCAGGGAGAAGGAGCGGCAGCTGCTGCCACAGGAGTGTCCAGTGGGTGCGCAGGCCACCTGTGGACAGTTTGCCAACGACGTGCAGTTTGTGTTAAGGCGGACAGGGCCCAGCCTGGCTGGGAGGCCCTCCTCAGACAGCTGCCCACCCCCAGAGCGATGTCCAGTCCGTGCCAGCCTTCCCCCAAAGCCACGGGGAGCACCCAGCTGTGAACCCCGGAGAGCACTGACCCTCAGCCCGCAGGGCCCCAGGCCGTCCCTCGGCCCCGCGGCCCCCACGCCAGAGTGCGGCACGGACCTGCAGGGCCTGGAGCTCAGGGTGCAGAGGAACGCCGAGGAGCTCGGCCACAAGGCCTTCTGGGAACAGGAGCTGCGGCGGGAGCAGGCCCGGGAGCGGGAAGGGCAGGCCCGCCTGCAGGCCCTGAGCGCAGCCACCGCGGAGCACGCCGCCCGGCTGCAGGCTCTGGATGCCCAGGCCCGCGCCCTGGAGGCCGAGCTGCAGCTGGTGGCAGAGGCCCCCGGGCCCCCCTCAGCCGCGGCGTCGGCCGCCGAGCGCCTGCGCCAGGACCTGGCGGCTCAGGAGCGGCACAGCGTGGAGGTGCAGGGCAGCCTGGCCCTGGTGCACCGGGCCCTGGAGGCCGCCGAGCACGCCCTGCAGGTGAGCCCAGGACCCCAGCCCCAGCACCACCTCACCCGTGACGCAGGGTCTGGCTGGGGGGAGGGCCCTCCGCAGGGCAGGGCCCTCTGAGGGTCCCTCGTGCCCCCAGGCCCAGGCCCAGGAGCTGGAGGAGCTGAACCGGGAGCTCCGGCAGTGCAACCTGCAGCAGTTCATCCAGCAGACGGGGGCCACGCTGCCACCCCCCCCGCGGCCAGAGGGGGCCTCCCTCGGCACACAGGTCAGCGTGGTTCTGGGTGGCGCCCGGGAGGCTGGAGACCCAGCCCAGCTCCAAGCTGGCCATGTTTCCGACAGGACCTTCCGCCTCCAGCCACAGAGGAGTCCCTCCTGGGAGTCCCCCGGAGTCCTCTTCTGGTCCCCAGCCTGAGCCCTGAGGGTATGTGCCCCGCCCCCCGCCCCTGCCCTGGCGGGACAAGGCCCTGCTCTGGCCTCGGCCTCACCAGCCCTGTCCTCCCCACAGTGACCCCGCTGAGGCAGAACTCCTGGAGGTAGCAGGAGCGGCACCTGCAGGCCACCCAGCCCCCGGCTCCGACGGCAGACTAGCAGATGAGCCACAGCTGCCTGGACCAGGCGGCAGGAGCGTGGGCACCCGCGGGGCGGGGGTGCCGAGGAGGACCACCCTAACCCTTGCCAGGAGCGTGGAACATGGCCCGAACTCACGTGTGCGCGTGAGTACGTGGCGAGGATGGCGTGTGCCACCCCCAGACTCCAACTTGAGAACCTCAATAAACGCCCGAGTGGCTTCACTGTGTGCCGAGGTGTGTGGAGGACGCTCTCTAGGGGCCGTGGAGCTCCTGCGGGGGGGCCTGGGAGACCGCTGCTGGGTCTGCGGTGGTCCCACGTTCTTGCTCTGTCCGGGCCTTCCCATTGCGAGACCTGCTGACCCTGTCCTGGGTTTCTCTCCCACCCAGCCTGCACCCCGCTAGCACCAGGAAGTGACAGCAGGACGAGCCAGACCCGCCTGTCAGGTTTACTGTGTCTCCCAGAGGCCTCGTGGGGGCGGGCCCAGGGCTCCCGGGAGCTGCCACTGGGGAGCTTTGCCAGCCCCAGGGAGGGGGTGGGCAGAGGGGAAGCTTCCCCCCGGGGGTGGGCATGGGGCCTCGCTGCAGTCGGGCAGAGAAGCAGCCACAGTGCAGGCCTACCCCTGCCTGCCCCTCAGGTGGGCTGCGGCCGCCCTGGGAGGTCTGTGTGTTCAGCAGAACCTGGCGGGGCCGCTGGTCTGGGCTCAGCAGTACTGGGGTAGTGGACGGGGACACCCTGGGTCACAGGGTCTGCGAGGACGGCAATCTTGGAACGCCCTAGCCTTCTCCTGGTGCGCCCTCTTCCTCTGGGGCAGACCGCGTAGAAGTCCTGCGCGTGAACAGGAGGGAGCCACCTGGGGGAGCCGGGCAGCAGGAGGAGGGGGGAGGCCAGAACCCCTGGCCGACCCCGCTACCGAAGTACTGGTGCCGGAGCCGGCTGCTTCCTGTTGCCGGGAGGGCCTTGGGAGCTGCACCTGCCTGACCTACGGCCCTAGAGAGAGGGCCGAGCAAAGGGTCACCCGGGAGGGAACCCGGATGCAAAGGCCAGTGGCGTTGTGCCCTGGGAGTGAGGGCTGGCACCCCGCCCATGCTCAGAGTCAGGTGCACCTCTGGGCAGCGGTACCGTGTCCCGTCCTGGGCTCATCTTCCAAAAGCCAAGCCCTCAGGCCAGCAGGAGGGATACCAGGTGGTGTCCAGCGGCCACCCCACGCAGGCCCAGGGCTCATGAGCACCCCCTCAGGTTCTCTGTGCCCCCAGAGTGGGTCCCCCTGTGTGTGTCTGCAAGGATCCCTGTGTCTCAGGGGCCTGTGCGTGCTCTGGGTCGGGGGACAGGCAGAGCCTTCCTCTTGGGTGGGGGCTGTTCCTGGTGGACGAAATCCCACACCCCTGAGAGGCGGCAAACCTGTGAATTGCAGTTTACTTTTGAGTTTACATCGCACAGCGGGGTGTAAGCTGCTACAGTGGGGTGGGGGGCAAGCCTCCCACTCCCCCAACAAACGTCCAGTCTGCGGCCCGGCAGGACCACAGCCAGGCCTCTCCCATGTGATGCAGAGGTGTCAGCAGGAGGCACACGGTCACTGCCACCCTCCCCTGCCCGGGAGGGTGCAGCCAGAGTGCAGAGCCAGCTGTGCCGGCGCCCCGCTGGCCTCTGCATGCCCGCCCACGCCCAGCACACCCGGGTTTCCCGAGGGTCACCCACGGTGAGTCACTGCCCGGCAGCATGTCGGCTCTGCAGACTCTCGCCCGGAGCCCGCACGCAGCCTCCGCTCCCCTGTGGGCCCTGGCCCGTGCCAAGCCCGCTGGGCCCCTCCAGGGCCAGTGCAAGTCGGTGTAAAGCCTGCACCAAGCCTGCCTCTCCCTGGTGCCACACTCCAGCCAGGAGAGAGGACACGGCCCTGCCACAGGCATCCTGGCCCCACAGAACTGGACGCCGCTGTGGACTGACTCCTCTCCAGGATTTCAAGGCGGCCCAGGGACGTGGGCAGAGCTGGCCTCTGGGAGGCATGGCCTGTGCTGAGCCAGGGCTGTCGCTGTCTTCTGTGAGAAGTCCTGGGGGCTGACCCAGGGGCTGGTTCCGCTGGCTGATGATCACAACACTAGGGCTGCCCTGGGCTTGGTGACTTCGGGGAGGCTCCCTGGAACACAAGGAAAAGGAAGTTCCCTCCGGGAGGGCGTCTGCCCCAACCTCAGTGTCCCAGTGGAGCAGGGAGTCCCCCAGTGCCTCCCTCCCCTCCAGCCGCCAGGCCCTGCCCATCTCAGATGGACAGACGTGGTCCACAGGGGCCCCCTCCCTGAGGCAGCCCTCCTGCCCCCCCAAGCCCGGGTCACAGAGGGGCCAAGGGGTTCGCGCTGCCCAGGGGCAGATCAGCCGCTGTCACACGCACAGTGGGTCCGGAGCAGCGCAGTGTGCGGTTGGCAGTGGCTGCCCTGCGCCTGGAGGGACGGCCCCCATGCCCGTCCCCTGCAACCCGGGCGCTGGAGCCCCACCGTCCTTGCCCAGCCCGACCCCCCACACCCCCCGCGGGAGGGCGGCCTCCAAGGAGCGACCCCGCCCGCCAGCCTGGGCCCCCTCAGGCGTCACCTGCGATCCGGCGCGGGACCGAAGCCGGCTCCGGACCAACTTCGGGGGCGGCCGCGGCCACCCTCGCGCCCCCGGCCGGCCCCGGCCCGGGCCCCGCCGCCCCGCCCCGTATGCAAACGAGGCGTTCCCGCAGCCAATGGCCGGCCGCGCTGGGCCCGCCCTGCCGCGCCCCAGCCAGTGGGCGCGAAGGGGGCGCGGGGCGCCCCGCCCACCGCCGCGCAGCCCTGGGCGGGCGAGGCCGGCGCGTTCCTTTCTGCACGTCGGCCTGGGGCGGGGCGCACCTGCCAGGCGGGGCCTGCGGGTGGCGGCGCCCCCAGCTCCTGTGGCCGCGGATGGTGCGGGCCCGCGGGCTCGGCGACCTGCCCGGCCGGGGCGCAGGGCCCGGGACTGGCCCCGCGCGACGCGACGACCCCAGGCGGCGGGAAGCCGTCCCCCGCCAACTCGGTCCCCGGGGACCGCCCTCGTCCCTGAGCTCCCGGCGCACGTAGCCGGGCCACGACCTGGGAGGGGCCTGGACGCGCCCGCACTCGGCGCCTTCGGGACGCACGTCCCGCGCGCACCGTCCCCCCTCCCCCCACGTCGGCCTCGGAGCCCAGCCAGACGCCCGGGTGGGTCTGGCTTCGACTGGGGGCTCCGGCTCCGAGCGGTTTGCCTTGCGTCCCCCGCGAGCTGGCCCTGGGGACTGTGGGTCCCTCCCGTGGGGCCTGTGGCCGCGGAAACCTGGGGAGTCCTAGTCTGGACTTGGTGGGCACGCGGGGCGCGAATGGAGTCACGGGCTCTGGGTGGGGCTGGAGGTGGCAGCCGCCGTCCCCACGACGTGCCCAGCCCGCTCCCCTCCATGCCTGGGTGGCCCTGATGGGACAGGAAAGGGCCCGCTGCCCTGCTCTGTGCACCACCTCCCTGAAACCAGCCAGCTCCCAGCCCCCTGCCCTTGGCTGTGTTCCACTGCCCTTAAACCCTCCACCTGCTGCTTGTCCCCTGCCCCAGGGGCCTGCGTGGGCTGGAGCTGGCCAGCTGCCACAAGTACAGCTCCCAGGCCTCCGACCCAGCTGGGCAGAGCTTGAACGTGGCGGCCGGGGTTCAAGTGCAGAGCTTGAACGTGGCGGCCGGGGTTCAAGTGCAGAGCTGCCGGGAGCTGGCCGGGTTCTGCCGTGGATCAGAAGCGAGGGGTGCCCCTCCCAGGCAGCACGGTGGGAGAGCCCTTCTACCCCTCGGTGGTGGAGTTTGCCTGTATCTTGATTTCCACTTTACTGGGGAAAACTTGCAGGTGTGATTGAGTGATGGATCTGGAGTGAGCTCAGCCCAGACCTGTGTGTGGGCCCTAACTAAACGCAGTGGGCACTGCAGACCCTCGGGCGTGGAGCCCTGTAGTCACAGGCTGGGAGAGGCAGGACGGACCCTCCCCAGGGCCCCTACGGGAGCCCAGCCCAGCAGACCCGTTGCCACACCCACTCTGGGAGAGGGAGTCCTGGGCTTCTGGTCGCTTGTTGCTGCAGCCAGGGGGCATTCTGCAGCCGGACACACAGCCCAGCCCCGCCCCCAGCCCTGGGAGCCCCCTCCCTTATTCTGACCGCAGGTCCTGCCCCAGCATCCACCTGGCTCTGAAGGCCCCTGCTGCTGGGAGGGGCAGGCACAGGGGGTTGGGCCGGGCCCTCTGGGAGAGGCTGGCCTGGGCTGGCCAGACCAGAGGGCGGTCCCTGCCAAGCCTTAGCACCCAGGCATGCCAGGAGCAAGCAAGCTGTGTGTGCCTGCCAAACCAGGAATCCAGCAGGGGCCTTAGGGTGCAGGTCTAAATGGGGGGGGGGTGCGCAGAGGGCAGCCATGTGCGTGAGTAGCTGTGGCCATCAGTGGCTGGGGGGTACAGATCCGTGCCTATATGCTCAGGGGGCACCCGCTGTGCCAAGCCCGGACCCAGCCTGGCTCTGGGCAGCCCTGTGGGGACCCTGCCCCCTCCGTAAGGGACGCATACCATGTCTGTGACCATGACTTCTTCCCCGACCCAGGAGCAGCTGTAGAGGGAGTAGGGAACGCTTGGCCCCTCTCTGTAGTCACCCCAGATTACCCAGGGGGGCCCTGAGTCCAGGGACCAGCTCCTTCCTGGGAGCCGCCGTGAAACATCTGGAGGTCCCCCCCCCAATTCTCACAGCCTCCCGGGGACCAGCACAGCAGAGCTGCAGCCCAGGGCACAGGGCAGGGCAGCATGCGTGATGCCTGTGCTGTCTGACCCCATTCGGACTCCAGCCCACCAGCCCACCAGCCCACCAGCAGGACAGGGGCCGCCCAGTGTCCCCCAGCAGGACAGGGGCCGGCCAGCGTCCCCCAGCAGGACAGGGGCCGGCCAGCATCCCCCAGGACAGGGGCCGGCCAGCGTCCCCCGGCTCCAGAGCTGTCAGCACACTCTTCCCTCTCTCCGGTAACTCCCCTTCCCCGCTCCTCCCCTCCCCCGCTGTCTGCACTGGCTCTGGCCCACGCCTGCCCCCGGAGCTGCTGTCCCAGAGCCACCGTGGCCCCCACCTTGCTGCTCCCAAGCCCCTTCCTGATGCACCTGCTCGCTTCCCCGGTTCTCCCCCAGCACCCACTCCTCCTTCTTGGTCTCCTTCGCAGACTCCAGGGGTCTGGAGTTCCAGCACTGGTCCCCAGCGCCCCCCACGAACCCCGATCACTGCTAACTCCAGGGCACCCTCCACGTCTGCCGAGGGACCCAGGCGGTCCCCGAAGTTCTCCCCTCCGCTCTTTCTCCAAAATTGGCCCCATCCTGGCCCTCCCAAGGCCCACGCCGCAGTGGCCCCAGCACGGGGCCGCTCTGAGGGCAGGACCTGCCCAGACCCCGGGCAGAGCCTGCCTGCGCTGGACTCCGTCCGGTCTCCTGACCCCTGCCCCGCCCTGTCACCCCGTAGTTCGGCTGCTGACAGTTTACTCTGTGTCCCCCTGCGCGCGCTCCCTGATCGGATGCAGGGAGCAGGCCGCCCGCCGCCGCCGAGCCAGCGGGCCGGGCCGTCCGCGTCCGAGGGCCCCCGGCGGGCGGGGGCGTGGCCGGGCGGGGGCGTGGCCGGGGGCGTGGCCGGGGCGTGGCTCCGGCGGGCGGGCGTCCGGCGGGAGCTCTGAGGGGGCGCTGGTCTCCCTGGACCGCAGGCCGGGATCGAGCCGCATTTCTGAGGCGAAAGGGCTGTCCCCGCGCCTCGACGCCCCCGACCGCGGGGCGCGGCGCCGCCTCCGCGTCAGACCTTTCTTCCCGCCCCAGCCTCGGTGGTTCCCGCCAACGGGCGGGGCGGAGGGCCCCGGAAGCCGGCACAACGAGCACTTCCGGGTCGGGGAGCGCGCGGCGGCGGCGGCGGCGGCGGCGGCGGCCGAGTGGCGACCGGGCCTAGTCGCGCCTCTCGCTCGGGCGGCGGCGGCCAGCGCTGGAGCGGCCGCGACTTGCGAGGTTCCTGGGTAGGTGCGGCGGCCGGGCGGCCCTCGGGTCGCGGCGGCGCCGGGCGGGCGCGGGCGTCGCGACGCTTTGTGTGCGGCCTGCCCGGCGCGGCGAGGCCTGCGCGGCGGCGGGTGATAGGCCCGGGCGGGCGGCGCGGGGAGACCTCGCGCGCAGCCCGGGGGGCCGTCGTCGCGGCGGCGCGGCCCCTGGGTGGGCGGGGGGGTGCGGGGCTGGCCGCGCCCCGGGGCCGGGCTGGCGGGGACGTGGCGGGAGCCTCTGGCCACGCCGTTTCCCGCTCCCGGCCGGCCGCGCGCGCGGGCTGCACCCCTTGCGGGCTGCACGGCGTTGCGGGGAGCGGGCTCGGCCGTCCGGGCTGCGCAGACGGGAGGAGCGGGGCGAGCGGCGCCGAGCGGGCGGCGGGCCCGGGTCCCGGGCGCTGCTCGGAGGTTGCGCGCGTGTCTGGTCGCAGCAGCGGCGGGGTGGTGGCCGGCTCCGAGCGCCGCGTGTTGGCTGCTGGCCACCTGGCCGGGCGCTGGGGCTGGCCCGAGGCTGGGCCCGGGCCCTGGCGTCCCTTCCCCCTGCGGCGGCGGCTGTTGACTCGGAGTAACAGTAGGGGGCTCCCTGCCGCGCCGCGCGGTGCCCGGCGGCTCGGGGTTCGTCACAGCCCCGTGTGACCTTGCTGGGCCCCCGAGTTTCTGCCGAAGTCGGCGTTCGCGATCGCGAGGTGTGGTGTAGGCTGGCGCGGGCGGGGGGGGCGGCGCCGGGGCTCTGGCCGGGTCCTGGCGCAGGCGCGCCGCCGGCCTCGTTTACTCCTGGTGGCTCGGCTCCCCGAGTCGGAGAAGGGAAATGCCCTCAGCCCCCCAAATCTGAGGGCTCCGCAGCCCCTCCCCTGAGCAGGCCGGGGCCGCGCTTTGCTCAGAAAAAGCTGAGGGCCCCCGGCCCGGCCGTGGGGGCTCCCAGGAGCCACGGAGTTCCTGGGGGCCCCAGTGGTGGTCTCGTCCTGGGTGCTGGCTCCTGGAGGCTGCTCCAGGCGCTGGCACTTGGCCCCTGTCCCGCTGAGGGCACAGGGAGGCCTGTGCCGCGGGGGTCCCGTGGGGCTCGGCCACCCGCCCAGGTCCCAGACCCCATCACTGCCCTGCTGACCCTTTGGCAGCTCTCCGAGGCAGAGGAGCCTGGCGGCCACGTGCTGTGGCTTTGACCTTGTGGGGCGCACCCCGGCCAGGCCCCAGGACTCCACAGCTCTGCCCCCTGCGTGGTCTCCAGAGCTCCCTGCTGGATGCTGGAGTGTGTTTGCCTCCCTCGGCTGTGGCACTCCAGGGCGGGGAGCAGGCGGCCAGAGATGGGCAGATCCTCTTAGAGGACTGCTGGTTCTCCCCTCTGTGCCGCCTGGATGGGCTGCGCCCGTCGCCTGCCGCAGAGCAGCAGGTGTGCAGACCCCGTGCGGTGGGGCACCCGCAGCCAGCAGGGGCAGCACCTCTGTGTCAGGAGGCGACACTGGAGCCCTCGAGCTGGCCTGAGCCCAGCGCTGCCTGCCAGGGGTGGGACCCCGAGCCAGAGCTTCCCCTCCGCGTCTGACCCAGTGACAGGCTCGTGTCCTGACCCCTTGGCGAGCAGAGCTCCCTTCAGGGCCACCTGGGAGAGGAGGTACACAGCATCCACGGGACGGGGACCAAGGCTCGGACTGGCCTGCAGCTGGGACCTGGTGCAGCGGGAGGGCTGGGCCCGGGGCGGTGCTGGGCTGCTCCTGTCGGTGTCCCCTGTTCGGACTGGCCGTGCAGAGCAGGCAGGTCAGAGCCCCAGTGCGGTGGGCTTGGCCCCTGCCTCCCTGCTGTGCACCCGGGGGATTGGGCGGAACCTCAGGTGTGTTGGTCAGGCGAGTGGAGGCCAGGCCGGCCGGCCCCGGCGCAGAGCGGTGTGCCGGGGAGGTGTGGCCGTGTGGCGTGACAGAGCCGTGTGCCGAGGGCCAGGACTGCTCTGCCCTCAGCTCTGGGTGGGTTCTGCTCCTCGAGTGCTGCCGTTCAAGGGGGCTTTGCAGCTGGCAGCTTGGGGCTTACCTGGCTCGGTTCCCTTCAGAGCTGGACTCCAATGTACAGCGATGGATGACGACTCCCTGGATGAGCTCGCGACCCGGAGCCCAGGGCCAGACGGATGCCCGCCGGCCAGCGACACTGGTGAGCCCCCACACAGGGGAGGGCAGTCTCCCAGAGCTCGTCTGTCTGTCCATTTTCAACTTCTGTTCCCTAGAAAACTGATTTTGGGTTGCGGAGTAGTGCATAGCTTCCTTTTTGTTCTCACACGAGCTACATAGAGTGAAAGGAGGCAGCTCTTCCTATCACTGCTCCCTCCCCCACACCTGGGGCAGGTGCCCCCCCACACACACACCTGGGGCAGGGGCCCCCCCCACACACACCTGGGGCAGGTGCCCCCCCTCCCAGCTGGGGCAGGGGCCCCACACACACACACCTGGGGCAGGTGCCCCCCCCACAGCTGGGGCAGGTGCCCCCCCCCACACACCTGGGGCAGGGGCCCTGCTGAACACAAGCCTGCGTGTGCAGAGCGGCCCGGCTGCGCTGTGGCCTTGGCTCTGACGTGGCCCTGGCCTGTTTCTCCCTGGCGTCTGGCAGAAGGCAGCGGTGGCAGCAGCGAGGGCTCCGAGGACGACACAGGCAGCGAGCACGGGGACAGCAGTGGCAGAGAGGATGAGGCAGGGGCCTCTGAGGAGGAAGAGGACGAAGACCTGGGAGACAGATACGGTGAGATGGCGGTGTTCGGCTGGGCCTGTCTGCCCCTTGCTTGGGGTGGTCCCGCGCGTGTTTGGTGGAGGGAGGGGTTCCTAGGGCCTCCCCAGCTGCACTAGACGCCTTCCTCATGTCACTTGGGGCCACCATCCTGCAGAGCTTCCGAAGCTTTGCTCTGGCCGCCACAGCTCTGCGTGGAGTTGGCTGGCCCCACACTGGCCGGTTTCCTGTCGTGGGACCATCCGGCAGCCGGGTGCTTTTTTCTGGACCTGCGGGACGCTCACAAGTGGCTGAAGGAAATCTCTTGATGGGGTCGGGCCAGCCTGGGGTGGTCCCTGTTGCCGGGTAACAGAGCCCTGGAGTGACATCCCAGCACCCTGGTGCAGCCAGGAGTCACGGCCACCTCTCTGCATTTGCCTGTGGATCCTTCTTGGTGCTTTTGGGTGCGGTGTGGGGGAGGGTGGCCATGCTAGGAACCTGCTCTGCACACCTGGGAGGAACAGGAGCCAGAGACGTGCGTCCTGCCTGGCTGTTGGTGCGGAGGGGACCTGTGCTGGCCCCCGGAGTCCTGACCTTGCTCCCGGGCTCAGGTTTGAGGGCCTGGTGTACTGCCCAGCCAAGGTCCCTGTTCCCGTGTCTTGGCAGGGAGGTCGGCTCGGGGTCAGAGCGCAGCCCTGCAGGTGCACAGTGTGCTTTGTGCCCACCAGGGCCCAGGCTCCTGAGCCCCGCACAGGGCTGGGAGCTCTGGGGCCGTCCACGTGGGCACTCCTGTCTGCGTGGGCTGTGACGTGTCTTCTTTTCAAGGTTCCGAAGACTCCGAGGAAGATGCGGAAGCCGTAGTGGCTGTAGTGGATGCTCAGGGGAAGTTGGAAGCCAGCGGCGCGTTCAATTCAGACGATGACGCGGAGAGTTGCCCGATTTGTCTCAATGTGTTCAGAGACCAGGCTGTGGGGACGCCAGAGAACTGTGCCCATTACTTCTGCCTGGACTGCATCGTCGAGTGGTCCAAGGTAAGATGGCCCCCACGGTGGTTCTCGGCCTCCAGGGAGCCGTGGGCGTCCAGGGCCACCCTGTGCCGCAGGCTGTCAGGTGAGTGTGGTGTGTCGGGTGACGAGGCACAGGAGCACACGGAGAAGGCACCGCTCTGTGCCGGCCGCGGCGGCCATCGGAGGGTGAACCAACGGCAAAGGAAGACCTTTCTCTCTGTCACTCACTGTCCACTCTGCCTGTCAAAAAAAAAAAAAAAGATCATGTTTTTGTTAAAGATTTATTTGTTTGAAAGGCAGAGTAGCAGAGGCAGAGAGAGAGAGGTGTCTTCACCCACTGGTTCATTCCCTAAATGGCCACAAATGCCAGAGCTGGGCCAATCTGGAGCCAGGAGCTGCCTCTGGGTCTCCCACGTGGGTGCAGGGGCCCAAGCACTTGGGCCATTTACTGCTTTCCCAGGCACACAGGCACGGAGCTGGATTGGAAGCAGAGCAGCTGGGACTTGAACCGGTGCCATCTGGGATTCCAGCGCTGCAGATGGCGGCCTTAACTGCTATGCCACGGCACCAACCCACTCAAGATCGTTTGTAAAGTGGGGAAAACACAGGGGGGCATCGTGGCTCAGTGAGCTAAGCCGCCGCTCGGGGTGCCAGCATCCCCTTTGGGTGCTGGTTCGAGCCCAGCTGCTCCGCCTTCGGGTCAGCTCCCTGCTCACGTGCTGGGAAGACAGGAGGTGACGCCTGAAGTGCTCGGGCCCCTGCACCCACGTGGAGACCCAGACGGAGTTCCAGGCTCCTGGCCTTGGTCGAGCCCTGCCCTGGCTGTTGTGGACGTGTGGGGAATGAGCGAGCGGATGGAAGATTCTCTCTCTCTCTCTCTCTCGTGCTGCCTTTCAAATACATCTCTTAAAAAGGAAAGACAAAAGGAAGATTTTTCACGTTAAGGTTCACAACTGCTGAATGTTAAGATCAAACTAGAATCAGGCTGAGAGCAGACCCAGTCCCAGGAGTGTGCTGGGAACAGCCTGTGAGCAGGTGGGGTGGGGCTCTCCCGTGAACACGTCCTGCCGGGGTGCCGTGGGCTGCGAGCACGGGGAGGTGCCTGCCAGACGGCTCAGGTGAGAGGCGGCCGTGCGTGTGCCCTAGGCTTTAAGGGGACGGTGCCTGTGAAGTCGCCCTGCAGTCCCGGGTGTTTCCCGAGACCCAGCCCAGGTGGGCCGCTGCGAGCAGTGCCTGGCTGGCTCAGCTTCTGGGAGGGAAGAGGCCCCCCAGCCTGCAGGGTGGGGCAGGCGGAGTGGAGTGCACTGCTGGGAGGCAGGCAGGGCTCGTGGAAACTCCTACAAGATGTCTGTGTCATGTGAGGTGGACAAGAGGCCCTGGAAGTCACTGGAGGCGCAGCGGCTTCGCGGGAGCGCGGCACTCGGGAAGGGCGCCCGGGTGGCCGGGGTCGGGAGTCCTGGGAAGCCCCAGTGCATCCTTCCTGCTTCCTCTCTTCTCCCTGCCGAGACTGCCGTGCTGCAGGGCAGAGCCACGCTGGGCCCTGGCCCCCTGTGCAGGACCCGGCACACACGGCGGGAAGGGAGGTCTCTGCCTTCAGCGTTTCTCCTTTTCTTTTCTTTTCTTTTCTTTTCTTTTTTT